CAGGAAATACCTTATATATTATTTAAAAAATAATAGTAAAAATGTATTAATTTCTTTTTTATTTTTTTATTTATTTAATAATTTATTCGTGAAAGCCTAAAAAGCTTAATAATTTATTTTCTTGACAGATCCAAGTAATGTGGCGGGCGCCACAAGCCGGCTCCGGGTGCGTCATTTTTACCGCGATGATTTTGGAGAACAACGTACGATGGTACGCGGAAGATGGTGCTCTCATTAAGACTATTTGCGAATTGACAAACACGGAAGTCGATAGTTTAAACGAAACTAAATGTTGCGCTTGCGACGAAGCAAAGTACTCGGTAAGATATAAAATATTTCGACAAATTTGACAGAAATATAAAAATTAATATAAAAATTTTATATTTTTTCAAATTTTATAAATAGCGTAATTTGTGTTTTTATTTTAATTTATGTCGACGTTACGATGACAGATGCACAAAACATAATCAACCTTATCTTTTCAGCTAACTATGGAGGGCATTTGGTCGAATAGAACGCACCCGAAAGATTTCCCATTTTCTGCCTGGTTGACTCATTTTAGCGACGTCATCGGTGCATCACACGAGCCAAATTTTTCCTTCTGGGGTAGAGATCATGTCGCGACGGATGGTTTTCGACAATTGGCTGAGTGGGGATCCGCGACGGGCGTGGAAGCGGAATTGAGAGAGAAAGCCAGGCACCTCAGGACGCTTATTAAAGCTGCCGGTCTATGGTATCCTAATGTTAATACAAATACAACGACGAGCTTTAGGTAAACATAGTTCGCTTATGAAATATGCATTTGGCAAAATATTAAAATTATTTGATTTCAATAACTGTAGTAATTAAATATATATAATTCCTAAATTTTATATTTTAAATAAATTATTTCAAAAGAATATTGTCAAAAAAGTTTGAATAATAAAAACGGAACAGTTGAACACGTGTCGCGATTATACACTTTTTAAATACTATATTTATATTAGATTAAGACATTGATTTTTTTAATATTTTCTCTTAAAAATAATAACAAGATTTTCAACAATTTAAATACATCAAATTCTCGATAATCTTTAATTTTATTATCTCGAATAATCTTTAATTTTTTAAATCTATCAATTTTATTTTTATTACTTTTCAGGGTAGATCGAGGACATCCTCTTCTCTCGGTGGCTTCGATGCTGGGTCCGTCTCCCGACTGGGTAGTAGGAGTGAGCAAATTGAATCTATGTCAGAAGGACTGCACCTGGACGAAGAGTATGATAATCGATCTTTATCCTTGGGATGCCGGTACTGACAACGGCATTAGTTATATGTCGCCAAATTCTGAGACGAAACCACGTGAAAAAATGAAGCCGATAACAACACTCTATCCGGAGGATCCGCGATCACCGTTTTATGATCCGTCCGGTAGGCCCATGCACCCACTGGCCAGATTGTACTTAAATCGGGAAAAAATTATTCCACGTGGATGCAGCGAGGAACTTCTGCAGCAGCAAGTAACTGATTTAGAAGTGGCCGAAAATACTGAGGATACATCGAGACGTATGCATGTTATGTCGTATTTTTAATAGTTGATCTTTTTTGAAAAAAAGCACTCAGAGAAAAACAAAGTGATGGCAATTATAAAGTAAACTTTATAAAAAATAAAAAAAAAACTAAAAACATGACAATAAGTTTTATATGTAGAATTAATGTACACATGTATGAATTAATGTATAGTTGGATAAGCTATTTTATAGTTACAATAATTATGAGAGAAAGTTTCTATATTAGTCTCTACATTAATTCTACATACAAAATTTATATAATTATCGTCTGTCTTTTTCTCTGAGCGCAGTCTCAGAGAAACTTAGAGATAATTCTTGTTACTGCTTTATCATCTATTACGATATTTGTTAGTGCCTTATCATCCACGATATTTTAATGACATTGTCATCAAGTCAATAGAGATTTTGAGCTTCATTAAAGTTTGTGAACTTCATCTTGGTAATTTAACTTTATTTTACTTTGAATTTTAAGCGGAATGCCAGACGACGGATTATTCGCCGTGGTCGTCGTGTTCAGTAACCTGCGGTAAAGGCTTAAGGATGCGCACGAGGTCGTATAGAATGCCAGAGAAAGCTGCTATGTTCAACTGTAACAGACAGCTGGTTTCGAAGGAAATGTGTGTCGCGTCTATTCCTGAATGCTCGTGAGTGCGTTCACGATTCCTTTGTCGCATTTTAATGAAGATTGAAAAATTGTCGAAGCCCAATAAGAATGGAATTGACGCGAATATAATATGTATTTCATGGATCAGTCGCTAAATAAATTTGAATCTTCATGCATATGTAAGATCGATATGTTATTTCAGGGGGGAGGAGGAGAGTGAAGATGATATAATTTCGCCGCAGAGCGATCCACTTTGCGAAACCACCGAATGGGGCGAGTGGTCCGAGTGTTCGAACACGTGCGGGATCGGTTTGAAAATGCGAACAAGAAGGTTCCGCGACCATCGCGGTCGCAAACGATGCCCGCTCGTGTCGCTCGTCGAGAAGGAGAAATGTATGGAACCACCATGTCAAGCGGGAACGGAAGAATTGCTTGATCCTGTGTGCAAGGTGCAGATTTTCAAAATCTATCTTGCCGCACACTTAGAGAAAAATATAATATAACTATAAAAGAGTCAACTATACAACTTTTATGTAAAATTAATGCACATATTGAATAAAACATGTATTTTATAGTTATTACAAACATAATTATTTTATTTAACTATGTACATGAATTTTATATATATATATTAAAAACTTGTATTGTTGCCACCTTTATAGTTGCTATGTCTTTTCTTTGAGGTAAAATAAAGATTCATCGCACAATAATTTACACAGTTTGATAACGATTTAAGGTGACGGATTGGTCCGATTGGTCGCCATGTAGTGCTTCTTGTGGCAAAGGTGTGAAACTGAGAACCAGATTGCTGATAGTCGATCCATCGCTGCAAGCGGAATGCTCTTCGCGCGTGGAATTACTTCAGCAAAGGCCATGTCTCGTTCAGTCGGACTGTACATTTGACATGGCAACAGCAAAAGGTAAAAAATATAAGAAATTTGAAGAATGTTTAAAGAACAAGGCTTTTTCCTTCGACAATTAAGATTAATCGGAATCAACAATTAAGATTCCGGAACTGACGCTAAAATCTATGACACAGTTATTGACGCAGGGTTTGTAAGACCCATTTAATTTGTATTGATTGAAAGACATTAATGAATTTCAAGGAACCAAGCTGATACAATGCGTACAAAAAAAGAATGGATATTAAATTTATTTTAATAAGAATAATATAAATGTGTAGATGTAACATAAAGAAACTGAATTATTTGACATTTTTGTATAAAACGACAATTACCATAATAGTAGATACAAAAATTAAGAATTAACAATAAATTCAAATATAACAATGTATTTTTTATTTAACATTACTTCACAGAAAAAACTGATTACTTTTATTTATCAAAATCTGTGTTATTAAAATAATCACGTAGAGGATCCAATTCAATGGACCCACCATTATCTCTGGAGAAATATAATTGAGTGGATCCAAGCTTCCCAGCTCCGGAGAGTTAATCTTTGCAACATGCATAAATTTTTGCAGTAGCTTCTGAAAATTATTATATTTATCTTTTTTACAGTCGTGTGTATGGAGGATGCAGATCCCGGCCCGTGCAGGGGTTACTTTCAGAGGTGGGCTTTCAACCCGCGGAAATTAATGTGTGTATCCTTCGCGTACGGCGGATGTCGTGGCAACCGGAATAATTTCCTAACGGCGGACGAGTGTGGCAATACCTGTAATGTTGTAAGTGACAACATTTCATCAAAAATCAACACGCGCGAGCGGGATGGAGATGTCATCTCAATTCTTGTTCTCAGGTGAGAGTTGCCCTTACTGGCCAGGCCTTTAACGAGACCGTAAACCGAGATCAAACACCTACCGACTCGTTGACTCCTCCTCCGCCACCTCCTCCCGTGGATTGTGTGGTGACTCGTTGGTCAAATTGGTCGCCGTGTAGTGTCACTTGCGGCGTTGGTCGCGTCACAAGTTATCGTACAATCGAGGTAAGCTAATTGGCTTCAGGCTGTTAGACGCGTTATTATTATATTAGTATTTGCGGAATTTGTGGTATATATGGCTCGCTGGAATAATATAAACTGTTGTGTCAGTATTATTAATGAAGTATGACGAAGCTTTCGTATATACATAATATTGTTACGAGACCTTTCCTGATAATATCATATTGGTTTATGCAATTAGCGAGAGGCTGCAAACGGCGGTCGTCCCTGTCCGAAGAAACTGCATCGTCGTTATCGTTGCGAGCTGGCGCCGTGCGAATGACTCTTTACTGATATTTAAATTAAGATATGCATACGTAGTAGATTAAGGAATATACTTAGGCAAAGGATCTGTCAAAAAAAGATAGTTTAATTACATCTGCAAAGAGGTAAATCTCTGTAAATTTTTAATCTTATTGTTAGAACGTACGAGACCTAAATACACGAATGCATAACGTGGATTATGTCCCGTGCGTAGTTTGATTATTTCTTATATTTCTCTGCTCCCGATGCTTTTCCTATATGCCAAAAAGCTTTATGGTAACGAAAAATTAATTTGATTAAAAATGTTTAAGTATCAAAAACCATTTTGGATTATCGTGTGTATTGCAAATGAAATATTTTAATAACTTTACACTTTGCAAAGCGATCCACGTTGAACATTCAACAAATTAATATTAATCGATGCCTTCATAAACTATCAATGTACATTACTGCCAGTCCTCTATTGCCAATATTTATCGCCTTTTAAAGTAATCGCGTTACAAACATTCCATGCTGTATTCTTTTTACAAAGTGCTGGATATGAAATAAACGGATTATCAGAATAAATATTTATTAATAGTTATTTGGTTTATATCGCCTGCTAACTCCCATCGAATTTCAATCGATACTACAAAACGCGGAATCGATATAATTGCTTTATATCGGATGGAACGTTTGTCTCCAATAACATATCCGTTCAAATTTAATGTATTCGAATCCCGTCGTTTGCAAATTAATATTGCGTCCATCAAATGAGGTGGTTAACCGTAATATTAAATTTGTGGTGTTGTACGGTGGAAAAAACAAAGAAAAACCTTTTTGGACAATTTTTGCTAATGTTTTAATACAAATGGAAAACGCGAAAATTAAATTCGGAGTTGGATAACCAGTTTATTCTCACCTCTCGTTATTCTTGCATTTTAGCTGCACGTTTTTTAAATAATACGTCATCTCGAGCAACATATGGATTGCTCGAGCGATTAATGCCGCAAGTGTCACGCCTGTTATTCTTATGTTTCAACGCATAAATTTCTTACGTAGAAATTCATGTGTCCATAATTCACTACGAACTCTGAATTGCGATCAGCTGTCTTTGGAAGATGTCCAAAGTCGCGTGCAACTCCAAGAAGTCTTTTGACGCCGTATATACGCGGCTTTCTATTACTTCTCGTATGTTTTCGCGCAAAAAGTCGCATATGATGTAGAAACACGAACAAATGGAATACTACTTCATGCATCTATAATCGTAAGAAAATTCGATTGGATTCGCAGGACTGTCGTTTTATTCAAATAATTCCGTTTTATTGTAATCATTCCGCGCTTTATCTTGCGCTTATTGAAATCATTGGTTCCACTTGCGTTTTGTTCGTTTTTTCTCTTTTCTTTCACAACAAATACTCGCTACTTATCACCAATTGGGAAATCTAACTTCACACAGTTACATTAATAATCTCATATAAATAATACACGTAGGTGGTATAATGACTAAATCACTGTACATCTACCAAGAACGCCAAACCGTCATATTATGTTTTTGAAATTATACATTAGAGATGTGTAAATAGTTCGAATTAGAATCGAATAGAATCAAATTATAATAAATTCGATTTGATTCATTTTCAAAACTGAGAGATACAAAATCGAATAAATTCGAAATTTCGAATCGGTGATTCAATTTTGAATCAATCACCTATTTTATTTACTTCATTTATGCATGGCTCTTTTAAATTACATGTGATTTATTTTCATTTATTTGAAAAATCTGAAAATAATTTATTACTTTTAAATTAGCTTTTAATGTAAATCTGGGAAAATTTGATTTTAAATCGATTTGTTTTCAAGATTTGATTCGATTCGATTTGACGTAAAAATTTCAAATTCGATTTAATTCGTTTTCGAATATGTTATTAAAAATTTAATTTGATTCAATTCGACCTCACAAATGCTTGATTTATACATCTCTATTATACACTAACTCTCTACGCAAGTAAATAAAATTTTCTTTTATAGTGTAATGCAGGATTTTTCAACCAGTATGCCCCGCGGTAGTGTATCACAAAGGATCTCCAAGAGTGTCACGAAAAGATAAAAAAAGTAAATGAATTTAAAAATAAATAAAAAAGCGAGTAAGGTGCAGAGTGAAAAGTATTGTAAAAAATTATGAATATTATTTAAATTATATTGTGTTTACTTTAATCTTTCATTTTAACCAAACTGATATCGTCATTGCTATAAAATCACTTTTAATACAATAAAATAAAAACCTTTGGAACCTTACTTTTTATTTCCATATATTATTTTGAAGATATCTGATAATATATCTAAGCTGAGCGTCGAAATTTGCATTTAATATTGTACGTTATTCAATGCGCCGCGAATTCAACGAGATTGAAAAATGCTGATGTAATGCAGCATGCAACTTCTTAAATTCATTAAATAACTCTCATTTAAAATTTACCTTTGCTTAAATCGCTTAATTATTTCGCTTAATTAATTCGCTCAGATCCTGTTGACCCTATTTCATTTAAAGGAATATTTCTTCGGCAGTTTGACCCGCTTGGTAAATATATAGTGCTTCTCTCAGTAATGATTATATATCTCTCTTATGCTGTTATCGAGATCACGAGAAGATCGATGACGAATAGGAGGACGAAGCGAGCGAGCAATTGGACAGTGCCCTCAGGGGCGACTTGCTCCTCAGGAACTTACCTGTGGTGCTGATCGCGCGGTTCGTTTGACATTAATGATAGTAATAATTGTTATTAATGTACATACACGTAATATCTAAGAAATAGTACGTAATATCTAGGATTCTCATTCCTTTAGGCCACTACTCGACTATGTACTACCGGCGGGTTCTTTGGTCGTGCCACTTGTATCTGCTCATCTGTGCCTCGCGAGAATCGATTCGATCGCTCGCCGATTTGACCTGGCGTAACGAAAGATTTAATCATTCGATAGTCCAAATATAGAAGAGTTACGCGTTGGATCGTTAAAAGACGACTCGTTAATAGTTACGTGCTTATAAATAACGAGCGATTGCTTCTCGGAAATTTTACAGAAATTTGAGATTTTAAAGATCCAGCCGCCTCTCCTTTGACGCAATCTATTGTGCATATCTTACGGAAAAAAGTTATTGTATAATTGATTCTTTCAGTACCGCGCGTTTGTGGCCGTTCTAAATACTATCATAGAATAAAAAATAATAGAAATCGTCCATTGGCAATGACTGATTATCGATTAGTTCGTGTGACTAGAGTGAGATAAGTATATGGAAAAAATTAAAAGTGAAAAAATTGAAGAAATAGTCGCTTGAAAGGAGCTAAGAGGCTACGAGATTCGCTCTTCAGTAGACCAGCTCTCTGAAGATACGATAGATTCAACATCTGTTCAGGTAACGCAATTCGTTGCGTCCCTCGACAGTTAACTTATAAGATAATATAACCATGTTTTTTTCACCCTTCTGTTACGAGATCTGACAGACTAGTGTTGGCTAGGCTATTTGCCATCGACTCATACATGCCACTTCCGTTCTGGCAGTAGTAGTAATAGTAATAATTCTCAATACAATCTACCGTCGATCGTTGCTCAAAGACTGCCGCGAGAAAGTACTGCAATCAATCATATATGATATTCCATCATCCCAACTAATTTAAAAAATAATTTTGAATAGTAGTAATACAAACACATAAAATACGATCTTGTATACTGCTGCTCGAGAAAATTTAAATTGAAAAAGATAAAAATATAAATTTACTACAATACTCATAGAAACTCTCCTTCACATGTATAAAATTAAGAATATAAAAATAAATATATATAAAATATAAGTAATAAATATGACGTACCAATAATCTTGAAGTGAAATTTTGAGCCGTTATTTCATTGAAGGAAGTATTCGTAGTAAAAGGATTGGTGAAGGGTAGAGGATGATATCCTAATGAAAGATAGGATTTCTTCGAGATTTCCGATCGACGTCGCTCTTACGTTTAATCGGCATGGCGCGTCGCGTCGCGAGAAAGGCATCATTGTGCGTCTGCCGACGTCGAGACGGTCGTGCCGCATGCGTACGTGCATGCATGCACGATCGTCGTCGACATCGTTCTAGCCTCATGGCCGTTGTAAACGAAGCTCGTAGCTGAGTTCCGATTGATGCTTCCTGTGTCAGCTGGTCGGCCGCCGCCCGTTGGCGACATATCCGTTTCCTCAGAGCCAACCGGCGGACACGTCATGGCCGGAAATCGGCTCGATGCCGGGAAGACGTTGCAGCTGTGTCGCCGATCCATTTCGCTTTGCCGTGATCGACGTCGAGCCACTCGCCACTACGCTCTCTTCGGTGGTCGATGGTGTCAGTGGAACGATAACACCTACAAAAAGAAACAAGGATGGCCACGTTGTACATATATAAATGTCTTTCTTGTTTATAAATATCGTACTTAACAAAAACATTTATTAATATTATATAAATTAGAAAGATTTTATGCGAAATTTTTATATGCAAAAAATAAATGTAAATTAACTCTTGATGAACAGGTCCCCCGTTTAGCACATCTCCTTTTATTTTATAAACTATTCGTGCAATTTTGACAGCTTGATTTAAAAGATAATTTGATGTTTTGTTCGATTCTGAGATCAAAAATAAAAAGATTCAAAATGTCAAATTTAATATGGTAAATATAATTTCTAAAAAATTATCTGATGATCATATAAAATATGGTTTTAGAAAATTTTTATTGCAAAATAATAAGTTTCTGATTTCAAAAATCCTTACAAAACAAGGTTTTCATTCAGTTTTTTTGTTAAAAAATTCCCGTCCTTAAAAAATTAAATTTATAATTAATAAGAAACTGTATAGACATTTCCACAAATTTAAATAACCATTTTTAATGTGCCTACATACCTTGTTACTCTAATTTATAATATGTTCTAGTTATAAGCTCAAATAATTACTCGAAGCAAGTGACGAACAGATAATGCATGATAGTTATATGCACGATAATGCACGTCATAATTGGTTCATCCTACACCTATATGCTCTCTCTGAAACAACATCCCATGCAATAATCAGTTCACCTTGTTGCGCGTTAATGTGCTCGCTGATGGCGATTTCGACGACGTCGAGACTGGGTTGCTGGCTCTGCGTAACTTCATGCCGTCGAGACGTCGTTATTGACGAATGCGGAGTTAATTCGGGACCTCGAGTGGGCACGCTGCTGGCGCGTTGCAGCTGCTTCTTCGAGGAGATCCTGGCTGCCAGGACGGTAGCGACCGAAGATGTCGTGCTCGAGTCTGCAGGATTCGTGTTGGTGCTGCTAGTCATCGCGGGCGTAGATGACCTCGAGGCGGAGAACTTCTTGCGCTTCTTCCTCAGGGCGGCCAGAGCTGGCCCCAGGCCGTGGGTAAACATGTGATGCGCCTCTTGATGCTGTACTTGATGATGTGCGTGATGAGAATGAGAGTGATGGGGATGTTGAGAGCTTTGTACATCGTGACTAGCACCCTCCAATGAGGATTTCGAGTCCGAGGAGCCTTCGGATCGTGAGCCACCGTCCTCGGACGCCGGCGAA